GTAATAATTGAACTCCCTTCCTTCCACTAAAAACATATTACTAGGATAATGGAAAAAAGTAGCACTTTGCTAGTTACTACCAAATCGCAAGAGACTCAAGATCAAGAAGTTGGTTAACTATTGAAGACTCATCTATTTCTATCAGAGGTCTATAAAAAAAGTGAGAAAAATATTCATATGGAATTCTGTTACACTCAACTTTGAGAACAGTCGTAAGTGCCTAGGAATTATGTTTTTTGTTCCTTGTATTGATTTTACATATCTCTACAGAGAGAAATCACATTGCTGACACAATGGAACAGTCAATTGGTATTCTGCATTTTCTGATATGTTATTATAATGCAGATAACTAAGTCTTATTGGGCATGTTCAAATTTACGGTTCTAAATCAACATCTGCATATGCAAGTTTTTTTTTGTTTTTGTTTGCTTGGTTTTCTTTTTGAACACGATTAGCAGTATTTTCCATACAAAAGATCACTTTTTGTCAAAACTCTAATGAGAAAGTAAAACAGCCATTAGAGAGAACCATTTTACAATATAAGTATACATATTTCAAGCAAAAAAAACCATGTGCATATGCCTAATAGGTATATGCACATACACACATATGTAAAGAATACACATATATTCTTTACAAGATTCTGACTCATCACAGGAGGGAGGACCTCATCACTTGTCAACTCATCACTTGAAAAGCAAATCTATACTACAACTTAAGAACATGTTAGCTTTTTACCAACCTTGCTTGGTTGCTTTGGCTTTGGCTTAATGCTTATGAAGACGTCTAACTGCTCCATTAGTTGTGTTATAAACTGTGGTTCTACTTCAATTTCTTCCTTCATATCAAACATCAGCACAAGAGGAAGGCAACCCTGAGAAGACAAGCGCAAAAATTCACACAACACATCTTTACCTCACATAAATGTTGTCAATAAATTTAAGTATATAGACTATATACCTGTACATTGTAATACAAAAAGTATGCTTGGAGCACCCTGAATAAGGCTGTTAAGGGACTATGTGGCAGGAAGAACAAATGTACCAGAAAAATACATTCACAATATGAAGCCAGTGTAAATTGGGAGGTACAGACCCAAGTAACATCCTTTGATAATGAGTAAATGAACAAAACTAAGTTTTAAATGTCTTCTGTAATCAAATCTAGCACAGCCTAAATTGTTACACACAAAGCTGACAAAAATTAAGTGCCTATGTATTTTTAGTGATTACCAACATAGGGTAATCCAAAGGGTTGGGGTGATAGGAAGACAAAAGATTTCTGTTGTTATTTTTGTCATTTTTTAAAAGCTCCCAGATATCCTCACTCAGAAAAGTATTTAAAATCACTGTATGTTCTTTATTCCCTTTACAGTTTGCCCTGATCACTAGGGCTTTACCTCTACATTGAGTATATTCCTTCAAGCAGCACATTTAAGATTAGAATCAGTTAGACATGCAATACTTGTCAGAGATGAGGGATATTTTCAATTTATATATCAAAACTCATGACCTTCTTGAAGAACTTATTTACTGGTTAATACGTATATTGAGATAGATGTTAGTAATTCTTACAGATAATACCAATACACTGTATGTATGGTATTAGAGTGCATGAAATCTATGCACTGCATTGTGTTTTCTGTTGATAGTCAAAACTGCCCTAGATAGCCTTTTTTCCTCCCCTCTAGCCAAATCTCTTATTCGACCCAGCAATTCTACTGTCTAGCTGTGAAACGACCAGAGCTGTTATTTTGACTGAATCAAAACAGCTGGACGGAGCCAATAATAAATGTGTCCATGGCTAGAACACTCCTACAAAGTCACATTTTGTGGTCAACTTTGCAAAAATACAAAAAAAAAAAAAATCTACTGACCTACGCCAAGGAAAACAATCAACTGAAATTTGCTTCAAAGGTCCTTGGAGAAGATTGCAGCTATCTATCCCAATGTAGTTATCAGCATAGCTGGCATATTTAAATGTTTTTATCTGAAGCTGGAAAGTACTGTTTTTACTAAGTTAAAAAAAATGGAGGTAATTTTTACCTGGATAGTTGGTTCTTACCCAGGTTTTTCAACTTTTTTAATGTTTTAAAATGTAAATGCACTGCTTCTGCAAAATTTGCTTTCAAAACTTTTTATCCACAAAACTATCCACAAAACATCAACAACAATTCAAGGCCATGCAACCCTCTGAGTTGAAAAAGACTATATTTCAACTTATTTAGGGACTTAGGTCAATAAATTTCTTAGCTATATGCTGGATTGTATTTGGAACACATTTGTACTCAGGTATTCATAATTACTAAATTAAACTTTATTATCTCAATACTAGTACTGCATAATTATGAGTTTACTAAAGTGTTTTTTTCATGCTTGCATAATTCTTGCTTCCATCAGCCTGCATAAGAACACCAACCAAAGCTCACCAAGGAAAAGCAGATACAAGATTTCTTAATTTATGGACAATAATATCCTGAAATATAATCACCATGAAAGTAGCTGTATAAATAGAAAGGCATCACATTTCTGCTTATCACTATGCAGCAAGGCAGTGTAGCATAGCAGAGATCTGGACTTTGAGAACTTCACGATATCATGTTTTACGCTGATAACAGCTTTGAGTAAAAATTGAGTCTAATCCTCCCATGTATTGTTCATAAATGAGTACATAAGAAAACAAAAAAAAAGACAAGCATTAGCACTGTCACAATGCCTAAAGGTTCCTGTTATGTTTAAAAATCCATGTAACAAAAACCTGCGTGAGCGATAGAAACATCCTTTGACAGAGGTATTTTTTAAATAAGAGGGCAATAATACTGATGCTATAGTAAAAGGAGGAACACAAATCACCAGGGAATACGTGAATGTCTTCAGGGGTTCCCGTTTCCTTGAAACCTCACCTACTTAAGAACTAACAAATTCCTGACACTTCTCTCAAACAGCTTATCTAACAAATAAGGAGAATGGCAGTTGACCAAAGGAAAAAGAAAATAAGAGTGCTTTTCCCAAATACCTGTCCTTTCCCAAAATACCTCTCATTTTTTCAAGCAGACTTTCCTGAAATATTTACCATGAGATATTGTCTGGCAAGACAGACAGACTCAATTGTGCCCTGGAGGTAGACAGTGGATTTCTTCTGTGGATTACTAGGGTCAGGGAAGTGGATCTGAGCACCAGTCCTCTGCATGATATGTTTGATGTTACTGCCATTTCGACCCATCATAAAGAGATGATGCTGTGCTGCAATGTCTAGCTGTGTGCTCACAGGGATCGCAGAGGCCAAACTCCCAGCTAGGTGCTCTAAAAGCATGGCTGTCCCCTCCTGCAAAGGCAGAAAAGAGCGTTAGAAACGACACAGTGAAACAGAGCTCATCATGCATTCACATCCATGCGTTTGGTCATCATGCATTTCACACTCGAGGTAAAGAAAATTGTTTTGTTGAAAAACACCTAATTTGCAATAGGGCAGGAGGTTGACTGAACTTCACCTACTGCCCTCACTTAATGAATAAATGGAGCATGTAATTGCCATCATGAAAGGCAGTAAGATGACATCAAATTGTTTGGTCCTGATGGGATTTCTGAGCTTGCATATAATTTTAAGAAAGTCAGAGATTAACTGGGGTAGATATACATTGCAAAATTTGTGCTTCAGGTATGACCTAAGACATTCTTAGACATTCTTTTCTTCTGTTGAATTACCAGCTGTTAACAATGAAGACTAATGAATAGGTTTATGGCAGTTCCTTTATTCAAAGTCAAATTAGATCTTACAATCTTTTGCAAAAGTAGTTTTTATTAATTGTTACTACAAGTTTCACATTTAACTATTTGACCAAATGTTTTGAGATGACTGAAATGTGTAGAACATCAGGGCAAGTTTCTTCACCTGAAGTTTTTGTTTTTTTTTTTTTTTAATAGTACTTTCAGGTGTTAAAAGCACTTATGCAATAACAACTTGTACTGTTGAAGCCAGATAACAGTAATATAGTGTTTAAGTATCTAATCTATGATGATATTTTATGATATGTAGAAGCCTACTTAAGAAGATTCCTTACCTTCACAGCACTAGTGTTATTTTGTGACCCTCTGACAATGACTGTAGCACCATACATTCGAGAGCGTTGTTTAAACGAAACAGATATATTGTAAGTCTGAGATATATGCTGAATTGTGGGAGAATTAGGATCAGGGATTGGTTGCAGAATTCCAGCAATAGGCAATTCAAACATAAGTACCAATGGAAGCAGCTCCTAGAACAAGATCGAAAAGTAAACATTGAAAACCCAAATAATACTTGCGAAAAGTTAGCACAATTTTATTACTGATTAATTGGTCAGTGATGATCAAATTGAGATATTTATTTATTGAGAAATAGTATAATAACTTGAGTTGGAAAAAGACACTGAGTTGTCCCTGGGACACCAGAAAGGTTTGTTTGTACCAAGATACCATGATCATTTGCAATTACGTAGCAACAAAAAGGTTATTTTTTCATATTTATCCATGCAGATCTAATACTAGACATTAACATTTGTAAACATTCCCAGAGAATTCCTTCCCCTGTGGATAAACTGAAGATCTGACATCTGCTGCAGACCTATATAATACCAGCTTTTTCTTTCCTTTTTTTTTCTTTTTTTTTTTGCCAGACCCATTTTGTACAAATGACATACTTGACTATGGCCATTGTGAAAATATTTTCAGAATGTATTACTTATTATGCCAAAACACATACACAAATCAAAACTAAAACCTGCAGATTGAAGAGTACAAATGAATGGGATACTTTATATCTTGTAGATTCCATGTTTGAGATCCATCTAGGACTAGCTAGAGATCTGGCCAAAAAGTAAATTACTGTTTTTATGAATTCCTTTGCATTCTACTCATATGGAAACTCACATTTTTTTCATTTGTTCACATTAGTATTTCTGATCTCAAAACGGAGCCTTACAACCCTAAAGTTCTTAAAACTATATTGCAAAAATAGTCTGTTACCCGTATTCTAACTCTTGCAGACTCCACTCCAGCTGGCTGTCCTGCAATAGACACCTGAAAGAGTAATAACACATGAAACATCACAACAAATTTTCAAATAAAGCATTTTTAAATTGACTCAAATACCTCTGCTCCTTAGAAAAATACAAAGTCCACAAAAATCTGCATTTACTATAATACTGGTGTTATCTTAGCATTTTCTAAACAGTAGCCAAAAATTAATCCATTAAATAATGTATCTTAAAATATTCTAGTACCTCAAGCTATCAATACAACTGTTTGGATCAAATAATCAAGTTACTACTATACGGGTGCACTCGATGCTAGTAATCAACACACACGTTTTCTTGAGCGCTCCGAAGTTAGTGCTGTTTGTTGCACAGCCACAAGAAACAAGAGGGATATAAGTACAGTGATAAAATTAAGCATTTCACTAACTGGCATTGCAGAAGGTTTGCAGTTTGGGTTCCATGACTTAGTCTAATAAAAGCAAACTGATGGAATAGGATGTTCATATATGTTAGTTCCCCATTACCTTTCATTTTCCAAGAGCTATATCATAAGCACCAAAAACGTATTAATCACTAAGCATAAGCCAAATGCTGAAGAGATATTAGAAAAAGCCCACTATCACAATATTCAGACACTCTCTCTCCCAAATTCTATTTCAATGAACTTGAATTCACTTTATTTCCGAAACTGTAAAAATCAACGGCAATAGTAGCATTTTATATTCTCAGGCATTAAGAGCATAAATTTGTTAAAACATTAAAATATTAAATACTACTTACTTGATTGCTTTTTTCTGCTTGATTATTCCTATTTGAGTCTGGAAAATGGATATGGCATCCTGTTTCCTCCATCACCTTTTTAATATTATTGCCACCTTTACCTATCACATGAGAATGTTCTGTATGTGAAACATCCATCTTCAAGGTTACTCGATTGCTCTGGAAATATATATAAAAAAATTTTTTCTCTTCTCCGAATGAGGAAGTGAGATATTTATTGAAATAAATACCTTAAAGGCCTAAAGTTACATCTCCACCACCACCGAAAGCTTTTAAAACTAGATCTAGATTCTACTGCCTGCCATGATTTCAGTGCCCTTTACGATCCATTCAGTTGTTACAGGCCCAGGTTGTTTTAAACGCAAACTTAAACCTCTTTCTAATCTGAGAATCATATGATGTTGGCAAAAAAAAAATTTAGAGGATTTCAACATACATATCTACCACTCGCAGCAAATTCGTATTTGAGATTTTTCAGTAAATAACAAATGAACAACAAGCTATTTATGCTTTTAGTCTTAGGGTCTGGGAACATTATTTATATAATAATAGAAAGATAAAGAAAAACATGTTAATCAGGTATTTTCTTGTACATATGCCATATATCAATATTCACAATGAATGTTTTGGACACTTGGTTCCAGAACACCTAAAAGCCTTCTATTTAAAAGAACCCATTTAAACACACAGACGTGTGCACACAACGCAGCACTACAGTACCAAATTTTAAATGAATTTTTCTTACTTTTGTGTCCAAGACAGACATGATTTTTTCTTTAGCTTCTTTAACATTCTCCTTTTTTCCAGAGACTTTAATATGGGGATCTATGAAAGAAATAAAGACTTATGAAATAACAGTAATAAAAGCATATATATGTAGTAAAATATCTACCAGAAATTCCCAAAGCCATTTCAGAACTGTTTGTATTCATTATCTATAGTTTATTGGATAACTGCAGCACCAACCAGTGGAATTTAAGCTACATAACAAAACTTGTCATATCGCTTGTTCAGTCGCAATTATCAGGTGAAATTATTAAATACAATAAACAAACAGTCTGCAGTGCTGTGATGTACATTTGATATTTGAATTTTTATTAATTTTAATACCAATATGCAGCTAAGCCATCATGCCTTCTTAGATAAAATGTTAACATAGAGCAAGAACCTGTTAACAACTTTCCAACTCAATCTGCAAAATGCTCATCAGAACTTCATTATTTAATTGGCTTTCATAACTATCCTTTGCAGTCTTAACCAGCAAAAATAATAGAACTTCCCATGGAAGTTATCTAGTTGAATTCACCAAATCTCATTTCAACAGCCCTGTTGTGCCGCAATGCACATGCCTGGCACCTCGGGGAACGGCTCCAGGATTTCCTAGGGAGCACTGGAGCCTCCGGGAACACCAACCATGCAGCTGGCCCTTCGGTCCCAGCACATCTAACACATTCAGTCCACAACACCTCCCAGCTGGCATCAGAATTTTAAGCACCATAGCCCTTAATTAATAAAATGTTGTATGTTATTTGGTTGGTTAGAAACACTTGGTTAGAAACAGTGTCCACAAAATGTAAACTGACTTTAGGACTGAATCAATTATCAATTGCTCAAGCTAAGTAAAAAGAAAAAACCACAGATTAGACAGCTTTGCAGCACCACCTGGCGTCCAGAAACTGAGTACCATGATGCAAAACTTTCCAAATCTTAGAAATAATTTCCAACAACCTTCCCTGGCCACCCAAATTTCTAGGCATTAGGGACAATTGGGCAAATCTGCAGCTGATGCTTCCCACAACAGGGCAAACAGGATAAACTCTGCTTTCAAAAACAAAATTTTTAAATGCTCTCCTAGCTCTTACATGCTAACATAATCTAAATCATTATGCTAAATAGACAAATAGTTTCACAGTTTAGGGTACGTAAAAACATACATTTTCAATAGCAGGAAAAAATAGCTGTAAAAGCATATCTGCCTTTGCCACCATCTCAATGATTGTAATCACTATTAAAGAATTGTCAACCAACACAACTGTAATTTGTAAGCTTGTAGTAGTCAATTGAAAATCACAAGTCATGTCTGGATATTCTTTCCTTCCAACAATACAAGAAAAAACACAGTTGTCGTAACCACTATGAAAAAACAGTCTTTAACACATGCTGGAGGAACACAGGATTCACTGCCAAGTTTTGTGAAAATCAAGAACTATGCATTTTGAGTTCTGAGAAACAGACATATTTCATTTTTCTAAAATGGAAAAAAAAATTAGTCACAAAAATGTGGTATGTGCACAGAATCTACAGAAGCTCTGCAAATTTGCTGCTTCAGTCTTTTCACAGTGATTTTTTTTTAAAAAAAAAAAGTCTTAAGGGCAATTTTTTCTTTTCTGTTTCAAGCTGACACTAAGCCATGTGGTTCTAATGTGTTTAAGCTGGGAATGATATTTGAAGTGGATGTCGCAGGCAGAAGTTCCCAGAATCAGTCTAGCACACTATGTGTGCCTCAAATGCCCTTTAGAGGCGGCTAGGGAAGAATAACAAAGACAATTAAAACCACTTTTGGTGTCGTCGTTGCCTCCCCACTGCCACTCGGGTTTATCAGTTTTCACTTTTTTTTTTTATGTATAGTTAGTTCAAAGTATGAAAGCTTGCTCATTAAAAAAAAAAAAAAGAAAAGAAAAAAAAAGGGAAAAAAGGCACCCTGGCACCAGTGGTAACTCTGCAATTCTGAAGAATGCTACGGAATCTTCCAGAGCCGTCACAAGGTTCCTCTCCTACTTGACTCAATAACACCACAGTGGGTAATGAATATGAAGCTGCAGCTAGTTTTCAAGTTAACAGAATTCTTCCTTTGAGACTCGTTCACTTTTTCAAAAAAATACAATTCAGACATCCAAATCTCAATTTTGTGAGGAGAAGAAAAAATCCTTGCAACTGATCGATTTTTGAATTCTTTGAATTGCTTCTGCAGGAATTAGAAGAGCACTGGAGATGCATATAATTTCAAAGCAATCAAAGATACTGTAGTAACACTGAATTGATGTACACAGAATGAACGACTTTGAGGAACTGCCTAAAAATTCAAAAGGGTAATTAAGTCATGCAGTCTCATTTTCCATGTGTTACAGATCATTGACCTTCTTGCATATCCTTTACTAAAGAACCAATTAACTCTGTTTGCATTTCATTTCCACTGAAAAGCAGCAAACCCCTAGTAGCCTGTTCTAACGGTTCACTAGGTTGTCTTGCAAATTTGTGCCGAATTTCTGAATTATTATTGTTCTAACTTATTCTGCCCAATGCAGCTTCCGTGCAGTCCTCTCCAACCCCATTCACATCAGCTACATTTGACCTTAGACAATTCTCTACAAAGTAGGGAAAAACCTCTCACTAACATCAGAATTTCACCAGGAAAATGAAGCTGAAGATCACCAGGACTATCCTAGAGAAAGGTCTGAAACTGGACAGTGCCTCTCTCCAGACAGGGCCATCACCAAGTGGGAATGAAACAAACACGTAAGATTTTTATGCATCTGTATAAGGCAGTAATTAAAACATTCCGTTGACTTAAGCTTTCTAAATATTTTTGAAGCTATTGCCCCCAGTAAGGAGCCAAATACCTAGAAATCTCGGTTCCAAACAATATGTTACTTCTTGGCACCACAAGCAGAGAGTCGTTCCACAAATGCATGTGGCAAGTGACGTCTGTTTGCTGTTGTATTTGCATTAGACTGAGCAGAATATAAAACTCTGCCACCTATGGTCTAGCAGGAACTATTTACTTCATGGTTTTCAGTTCAATGCTTGAAAACATAACAAATTACTATTTTTACTTTTGCTGGGGCAAAAATTTTCCTTTGTCAGGAGGCTGGGACCACAGTCTGGCTGTATTTGTCCAGATGATGCCAGATCACATGGCTGAGGTGTGAGGCCACCACTCGACCTCGAGAAACATTGGCTTGGGAATCTAGTTTCACTAAAAACTGAGTTTGAGAAAAAGAACTGCATGCTATAAGCATATGTGGTTCATATACTTGAAAACAAATTCAGAAGCAGAAACTGGAAAAGATGTGGCCTTATAAGAAGCAATATTAGTGTTCCTCCAAATGGGACAAATTTCATTGTTCAGTAATCTGTTCTATAATCAGTTTATATGGGTAGCATCTTCTTTCTTGAGACTAGAAAAGATTAAATTAATAATTTAAGATTTTTCTTCCCTTTTTGAAGAACAGGGGACTATTTACATAAAACAGAAAGCTGAAGTTGAACAAAAGAAATGACAGGAAATTTTCCCCACTATTCTTCATTGTGCCAGATTCCCGCCTTGAAGTGGCCTTTTATTGCTCCTGTCCTCAAATTCCTCACTCCACACTTTGGCAGAGTTTCCACCTTCTCTGCCTTTGCCCAGTTACACCAGCAAGCCTCCAGCTTCTCAGCTACTATTGTGTGCAGCATTTCAGTAAACAAAACAAAATTCCTTCAAGCAAAAACATATTTGTGCCAGTGCAGATGCATTTACGCTGTGGCTTTCGCCAGGGAACAAGCATTTCAATAATTGAATATTTCACTGTGTAAGCTTCTATTGCAAATTATCTATTACATTTGGTGAGCAAGTTTTTCAGACCACAGCTGCACTTCTAGCTTGTTTACAGGAGAGACAGACCCTAAGTTACAGAAAATGTTATCCTAAAAATAGCTAGGCAACTGGGCAATGCAAGGGCAGATGACAATCCTTCTTGACGATGACCTGATTAGGATGAGAATAGTCCATGTGCATTACTGAACATGAGCCATTCAAATGAAAAACAAAGCCAAAACGGACAAGAGACACTTAGCATTTTTAAGGATAAGTTTTGAAAATATCTGCCCAAAAAATTTTAGTAAAAAAAAGATCAAAGCTATATGGAAAGTTGGAATGAAAAGAGAAAAACAAAGTCAGAAGAACACAGAATATATTGGTGTCTTCTCAACCAAAAGCATACATTTATACCATAAAAGGATGATGAAAAACAGGTCTATAAAAAAGTTCATCAAGGGGTATTTAGTAAAAGTTTACCAGTTTTTAAATCAAGTAGGCGATACCTTCATACACAGCTGTTCAAGTGGATACTCCTTGACCAGATCACATGGATTAATATCAGTAGCTAAGATTGATTTGAAATAAGCCCAGTCTTCCTATGCAGGAAGCAACATTAAGGCTAAATGTGTGCAACAAACCCTTACGCTTCACGGCTTGCACAAACCAACACAGGAGAGTGAGGAAAAAAAAATGTTATTTGGGCACATTTTGGTATTGATTCATTCTATATCTATAGGAGTCTTCTTGCCCTTTTCCAATGCAATCAAAAGCTTTACCTGGCAGTATCTAACCCACAGAAGAAAAAACTCTAGGCATATATAAAGGCAGAATGCAATAGAAGGCAGATCTACATACCCGCACACAAGGTAGTCAGTGCTGTTAGATTTATTTAAAGTTTCTTGGGATTTTTTCTCTTCCCACCAAATTAGAATATAAAAATTCCGAGGCAGATCTACATACCCTCACACAAAGTAGTCAGTGCTGTTAGATTTAAAGTTTCTTGGGATTTTTTCTCCTCCCACCAAATTAGAATATAAAAATTCCTCAGGTGCCTGAGGTATCTAATCTATCATGATGGACACTATGCAAGCCCTTACATACAATTGTTGAAATTAAATAAAGTGCAACACTGTCATATTTGAACTAGCTTACACTAGCTAACCTGGCCATCAAAAACCTACCCACAGCAGCACAAAACTCAACAGGGCTGCGAGCAGCAGCATCTTTGGAGCAGACCCATCCCAAG